CACAAAACCTCCTTTACCCCCTTCCTCCATCCTTTTCGAGGACGACCCCTACCCTGCCTTCCTTCCTCTACAGATTTATATGCTCTCCATGTCATTCTACTTTGATCCATTTTATCTAAATGACCAAACCACCTCAACAATCCCTCTTCAGCCCTCTGACTAATACTTTTATTAACTCCACACCGTCTCCTAATTTCTACATTCCGAATTTTCTGCATAATATTTACTCCACACATTGCCTTTAGACAGGACATCTCCACTGCTTCCAACCGCCTCCAACTGCCTCCTCGCTGCAGCATTTACAACCCAAGCTTCACACCCATATAAGACTGTTGGTACCACGATGCTTTCATACATTCCCTTCTTTGCTTCCATAGATAATGTTTTTTTTTTGTCTCCACATATACCTCAATGCACCAGTCACCTTTTTTCCTTCATCATTTCTATGATTAACCTCATCCTTCGTACATCCATCCACTGACACCTCAACTCCCAAATATCTGAAAACATTCACTTCTTCCATACTCCTCCTCTCCAATTTTTCTTTATCTTAATCATTTGATACCCTCATCACCTTACTCTTTTCTATGTTCACTTTCAACTTTCTACCTTTACACACACTCCCAAACTCGTCCACTAACCATTGCAACTTTTCTTTAGAGTCTTCCATAAGCACAGTATCATCAGTAAAAAGTAACTGTGTCAGTTCCCATTTTGTATTTGATTAACCATAATTTAATCCCACCCCTCTCCCCAACACCCTAACATTTACTTCTTTTACAACCCCATCTATAAATATATTAAACAACCATGGTGACATTACACATCCCTGTCTAAGCCCCAAGTTTACTGGGAAGTAGTCTCCCTCTCTTCTATACACAATAACCTGAGCCTCATTATCCTCATAAAAACTCTTTACAGCATTTAGTAACTTACCACCTATTCCATATACTTGCAACATCTGCCACATTGCTCCCCTATCCACTCTATTATATTTTTATTATATTTTTTTATTATCACACTGGCCGATTCCCACCAAGGCAGGGTGGCCCGAAAAAGAAAAACTTTCACCATCATTCACTCCATCACTGTCTTGCCAGAAGGGTGCTTTACACTACAGTTTTTAAACTGCAACATTAACACCCCTCCTTCAGAGTGCAGGCACTGTACTTCCCATCTCCAGGACTCAAGTCCGGCCTGCCGGTTTCCCTGAATCCCTTCATAAATGTTACTTTGCTCACACTCCAACAGCACGTCAAGTATTAAAAACCATTTGACTCCATTCACTCCTATCAAACACGCTCACGCATGCCTGCTGAAGTCCCAAGCCCCTCGCACACAAAACCTCCTTTACCCCCCCTCCAACCCTTCCTAGGCCGACCCCTACCCCGCCTTCCTTCCACTACAGACTGATACACTCTTGAAGTTATTTCTGTTTCGCTCCATTCTCTCTACATGTCCGAACCACCTCAACAACCTTCCCAGCCCTCTGGACAACAGTTTTGGTAATCCCGCACCTCCTCCAAATTTCCAAACTAAAAATTTTTCCATTATACACACCACACATTGCCCCAGACATGAAACTCCCCTCCCCCCCACCTTCCCCGCTGCAACTTTCATCACCCATGCTTCCCCCATATAAAACTTTGGGAAAAATAACTCCTACATTCCCCTTTCCCTCCAAGGACAAAGTTCTCTGTCCCACAGACTCCTAATGACCACTCACTCTTTTTCCCTCATCAATTCTATGATTCACCTCATCTTTATAGCCCCATCCGCGACACTCCACCCAAAATACTGAATCGTTACCTCCCCATACTTCTCCCCCAATCTAAAATTTTAATTTTTTCATCACCTAATCTTTTTTTTATCCTCATAACCTTATCTTTCCTGATTCACCTTTAATTTTCTTTTTTTGCACACCCTCCCAAATTCATCCACCAATCTCTCACTTCTCTTCGAATCCCCCAAAGACACAGTGTCTTTCCAAAGAGCACTGGGACAACCCCACCCTGTGGGGTTCTTTACTTTTAACCCCGCCTCTTGCAAACCCCTCGCTTTTAAAATTCTCTTACAACCCATCAAATCCAAAATGCGTGAAACTTCCCTACCTTTATCTAAATATTTTCAATATATGTTCAATGAAAACACTTGTTACACACCCACCCAGTCTAAAACCCCCTTTTTTCTCAGTCCTACTTCTGTCTTGCTCTAATTTTTTTAATAATAACCCAAAACCTTTCACTTTTCCCTGGAAAACCTAAAATATTCCCCTGTAATTTTTACAATCTCTTTTGTCCCCCTTTTTTATTATTTTATTTTTTACACATCGGCCGATTCCCCCCAAGGCAGGGGGCCGAAAAAGAAAAAAATTTCATCACATTCACTCCACACGTCTTTCCCGAGGGGGGTTTACACACAGTTTAAAACTGCAACATTAACACCCCCCTTCGAGTCCAGCACTGTACTTTTCCCTCTCCAGGGCCAAATCCGGGTGCCCTTTCCCTGAAACCCTTCATAAAGTTATTGCTCACGCTCCAACGCACCAAGTAATAAAAAAACCATTGCTCCACACTCCACAAAAAACCTCACGCTGCCCGCTGGAAGTCCAAGCCCCCCGCCACAAAAACCCCCCTGTACCCCCTCCCCCCAACCTTTCCCAGGCCGACCCCTACCCCCTTCCTTTCCCACAGACTGATACACTCTTGAAGTCTTCGTTTCGCTCCATTCTGTCACATGTCAACCACCTCAACAACCCCCCTCAGCCCTCGGACAACAGTTTTTGGGAACCCCCACCCCCTCCTAAATTCCAACTATAATTCTCTCATTATATTCACACCACACATTGCCCCCGCCCTGCTCTCCCCGTCTCCAGCCCCTTTTCCTCGCTGCAACATTCATCCCCATGCTTTACACCCTTTTAAAGCGTTGGGGAAAAAATACCTTTATACATTCCCCCCCTTTTCCCCCAAGGCAAATTCTTTGTCTCCCCAGACTCAAGTGCACTACTCCCACCTTTTCCCCTCATCAATTTTGATTCACCTCACATTTATAGACCATCCCGACACATCCACCCCAAATATCTGAATACATTTACCCCTCCAAACCTCTCCCTCCAATTGATATCCAATCTTTTATCACCTAAACTTTTTGTTATCCTATAACCTTACCTTTCCCGATTTACTTTTTTTTTTCTTCTTTTTCATACCCTAAAAAAATTCATCCACCAACCTCTGCAATTCTCTTTAGAATCCCCAAGACACAGTTCATCAGCAAAAAGCAACTGTGCAACCCCACTTTATGTGATTCTTTATCTTTTAACTCCACGCCTCTTTTTTTTTTTCCAAAACCCTCACCCGCTTTTAACATTTTATCTTTATCCGTCAATCCAGCTGCTTTCCCCCCTTTTATTTTACCTACTGCCCCCGAACTTTCCCCACACCACAACTGGCTCTTCCTCCTCCTACAAGATGTTATTCTCCTTGCCCTATACATGAAATCACACTTCCTATCTTTTATCAACATTTTAAAAATTCTCAAAATATTCCCTCCATCTTCCCAATACCCTAATCTCCATTTAATATCTCCCTCTCCATTTTTACTGACAAACCATCGTTCTTAGGGTTCCCTTAAATTGTTAATCTCACTCCCAAAAATTTTTTTTTATTTTCAACAAAAATTTATTTATAACACTCACCCACCTTCTATTTGCTTCTTTTTTTTCATTGCTTCACCACTCTCTTAACCTCCCTTTTTCCCATATACTCTTCCCCCCCTTGCATCACTTTTTTGTTTTTAAAAACTTCTCGAAGCTAACTTTTTTTCCCCCAAAATTTTTTACATCATCATGCACCAATCGCTCCCTTCCCTCCCGCACCACTTTCCTGTAACCACAAACTTCTGCTGAACACTCTAACACTACATTTTTAAAACCTACCCCTTACCTCTTTGACCCATTGCCTATGCTCTCATTAGCCCATCTATCCTCCAATAGCTGTTTATATCTTACCCAACTGCCCCTCTTTTAGTTTATAAACCTTCACCTCTCTCTTCCCTGATGCTTCTATTCTCCTTGTATCCTATCTACCTTTTACTCTCAGTGTAGCTACAACTAAAAAGTGATCTGATATATCTGTGGCCCCTCTATAAACATGTACATCCTGAAGTCTACTCAACAGTCTTTTATCTACCAATACATAATCCAACAAACTACTGTCATTTTGCACTACATCATATCTTGTATACTTATTTATCCTCTTTTTCTTAAAATATGTATTACCTATAACTAAACCCCTTGCTATTCAAAGTTCAATCAAAGGGCTCCCATTATCATTTACACCTGGCACCCCAAACTTACCTACCACACCCTCTCTAAAAGTTTCTCCTACTTTAGCATTCAGGTCCCCTACCACAATTACTCTCTCACTTGGTTCAAAGGTTCCTATACATTCACTTAACATCTCCCAAAATCTCTCTCTCCTCTACATTTCTCTCTTCTCCAGGTGCATACACGCTTATTATGACCCACTTTTCGCATCCAACCTTTGCTTTAATCCACATAATCCTTGAATTTACACATATCTAGACCCAAATTTACCGCTCACAGCTTATCTGAGTGATTTGGCCTCATGGCATCATTCTATGGGACAGACAGTGGCTTCAAAGCCGTGATATAATGGGACCGACACTGAAAGGGTTAATAAAACAGTGTTCCCTATTGGCATAATTATTGAAGGCCTTGCAAGAAAACTGTGTGTATGAATATTTTTATCTTATAAATTTAATACTGTACTTCATTGAATGCTGCCATTGTAATGTTCTCTTATCTTGGAACTGAACTCAAATGCTTAGTGGGGTTTGCTTCTACATTACTTAACTAGATACACTATAGAGTGGAATCATGATTTCTATTTTTTGAAAGTTGTTTAAGTCAGTTACTGTAAGAAAGAATTATTGCTAACTGCAGTATAATACTTGCTAAGACTTACTACATTTTACAGGGTTCTCTGTTCTCAGTGAACTTCTGTCCTGTTCAGAACATCATTACCACAACTTCTGATGATAGAAGCTTGAGAGTTTGGAATGTTGTCCATATAAAACAATGTTCTAGAAAGCATTTTAAGCAAACATCTTACAGTTGTTCAGAACAAGATATACAGTACTGGAAAGAATCACAAATTGTAGAAAAACTGAAATGTTATGGACACAGTGCAAGAGTATGGAGGTCACTCATCTTACCTTCATGCATTATAAGTGTTGGTGAAGACTCAAAAGTGTGTGTGTGGGACCAAGAGGGAATATTAATTACATCATGGAGAGCTCATGATGGTGCTAGTATCTGGAGTATTGCAGCAACAGAGTGTGCAGATAAGGTAGTTACTGGGGGGGGAGATGGTAGTGTTAAATCTTGGTGCCTTGACTTCAAAACTAATTCTGGTGCATTGCCACTTAATAATTTACCTTGGATCTGTGATATCCAAGCACTGTCACATGGAGAAAAGAATCAGGATATTTTATCAGTTAAAATACTTTCAGAGAACCCTGGACAACAAGTGTCTAATGTTTTAAAGAATTGTGAAAATATAGAAGACAATAATTCTCAGTTAAATATTAAAAATAGCCTTTTCAAAGAATGTGGTATGAAAACTTTAAAAATTAACCAAAGAGAAAAATCTGTAAAATTAGATTTTCCGAGGTGTCTCGCCTTGCTAGGAATGAAAACATTTCTAGTTATGATGGATAGTGGAAATTTGTATTCGTGGAACCAAAACTCTTGGAGCCTAAGCTACAAGGACGAGCGTCTGATGAATTATGTGGTGATGGAGGCTTGCCCCAATCAAAATCTTGTTGCTTTGGGTACTTTATCCGGTGATCTAATCATTCTCGGATCAGGTAAGTTACTCACAAATGTTAAAATGATTTTATTAGTGTGATGATACCAGGCTAATGACTAACCTTATCTAATACTGTTTAACAAGTCTAAATTGGGTAGGATAAAAGGACATACAGTGGAACCTCTGCTTACGAGTGCCCTAACATGTGAGTTTTTCAGGATACGAGTTGTCGCTCAGTTAATTTTTTGTTTCTGGATACAAGCCAAAATTCAGGATGCACGCTTCCCCTCAAGGGAAGTTCCTTGTCACTGGTGAGGGGCTCTTGATCTAGGGACTTTGTATATGTGCTCCAGTTCCCTAAATTAAGCCTGAATACCTTCCGTCCCCTCCCTCCCACAGGCACTGTATAATTCTACAGGTTTAGCACTTCCCCATTATAATAATAATAATATAATATAATAATAATACAGTACAGTCACCCCTTGGTTATTGGCCGTAATCTGTTCCAGAAGGTTGGCCTAAATCCGAAAAGGCCGAAAACCAAAATAATACTTCCCATAAATAATGTAAATCCAAATAATCCATTTCAGACACTCAAAAGTATTAACAAAAAATACATTTTATAGAGAATAATTATAGTTTTACATACACAAAACAGTGAGAAATAAATACTATAAAGCACAAATTTTATTGATAAATGAACATTACATACCTTTATTGAAGACTCTTGTTGACTTATTGAAGGCAATAAGGGGAGAGGGAGTTGGGAATCCCCCTCCATAAGGACTTCAGGTATCAAAGCCCTATCTAGGATTACTTGCCTTTTTTGTCTTTTACTGCCACAGTACATTCATTACTTACCTTAAAATATTTGTAGTCTTAATTTAGGGCGAGAGGTGAGTAGTATTTATTTGTAGGGATTCAGTGTAGGTAGCCGGTAGATGTAGGTATGTAGCCCCCCTGGGCTACACTACACAGCCATATTATTACATTGATATACCATGTTCACTGAGTTTAATAATTTCTAACAACTACCTATAGATGCCATCATAAACAAAGGGAGAAGTAATGAATAATTCATGCCGAGAATTATAAACAAACGCTTATTTTCAGTACTCGATAGCATATAAACATTGCATGTTTATATACTATGTTTATGTGCTATATGCTATGTAACATGTTTCTTATATAATTTTGAAGAAAATATCATAGATGAATTAATGAAAATCTCTATATTAACTTAAAGTAAGACATTTAATGTACCCAAGAGTGATTATTATTAAGCATACATCACATATGAATATTGCATGTTTTTATATACTATGTAACGTGTTTCATATATAATTTTGAAGAAAATATCATAGATGGATTAATGAAAATGTCTATATTAACCTAAAGTATGACATTTAATGTGCCCAAGAGTGACTGTTATTACACATCCAATAGAGCTGATCTCCGAAATGATGGCTGAAAACCGGGATAGAATTTCGGCAAAAAAAGCGGCCGAAATCTGAATTGGCCGATATCCGGAACGGCCAATAACCAAGGGTCCAATGTACAGTGGACCCCCGCATAACGATGGCATCACATAGCGATTTTTCCGCATACCGATTACTTTTATCGCAAAATTTTTGCCGCGCATACCGATTAAAAACCCGCTTACCGATTTTCGTCCGAGACGCGTCCAATGTGCCCTCACATGTGCCGGCCGTCCCATTGTTTACCAGCCAGCCTCCGCGGTAACATCCAAGCATACACTCGGAATATTTCGTATTATTACAGTGTTTTCGGTGCTGTTTCTGGAAAATAAGTGACCATGGGCCCCAAGAAAGCTTCTAGTGCCAACCCTGTGGTAAAAAGGGTGAGAATTAGTATGGAAATTAAGAAAGATTTTGAAGGGTTTGGGGCTAACCCTGAGAAGCCTATGCCAGTTGTGGAATCCATTGTGCCTACTTCAAAGATTAAGGAAATGTGTGCACAGTGGGTTGAACTGCAAACCTTTATAGATGAAAATCACCCTGACACAGCTGTTGCAAGCCGTGCTGGTGACTATTTCAATGACAATGTTATGGCCCATTTTAGGAAAGTCTTGAAGGAACGGGAGGTACAGAGCTCTATGGACAGATTTGTTGTGCGACAGAGGTCCAGTGACTCTCAAGCTGGTCCTAGTGGCATTAAAAGAAGAAGGGAAGTAACCCCAGAAAAGGACTTGCTACCTCAAGTCCTAATGGAAGGGGATTCCCCTTCTAAACAGTAAGAAGATAATGCTCTCCCCTCCTCCCATCCCATCAATCATCACCAGATCTTCAATAAAAGTAAGTGTCATTTAATTGTGCATGCCTTTTTCAGTTTGTGTGTATTAAAATTAACATTTCATGTGGTAAAAAAAAATTTTTTCATACTTTTGGGCGTCTTGCACGGATTAATTTTATTTCCATTATTTCTTATGGGGAAAATTCATTCGCATAACGATTATTTCGCATAACGATGAGCCCTCTTGCACGGATTAAAATCGTTAACCGGGGGTCCACTGTACTATAATAATAATTATAATAATAATAATAATAATATACATACAGCCTCTCCTCACTTACCGACATACTCGTTTATCGACAACTTGGAGTTACAACGGGCTCTCTGACGAGTTGTTGTTGTATACTGTACAAGCACTTGGGTCATGAATGGGAAGTGCAGCATCTCAACGTCAAGCATCTTAATCTCCTTCCTACAGCCACTCAGTACACTAGCTTTCACAGTCTCCAAGACTACATACTTGTACAAATTTCCTGTTGTTTTTCCTCTTGGAAGAGGAAAAATAAGAGGAAAATGGAAGAAGTACAAAAGAAGTTCATTGTCAAAGGGTTAGTGATGCATCTCAACATCAAGCAATCTCCAAAACTACGTATTTCGTCTGTAAATTTGTACTTTATTTATTTATTTATTATTAATTTGGACATGATACATAGATGTACAGAGAAATACAGTGGTTAAGTGTAACATGCCAAAAGCCCCTTGTATGCAGAACATTATGGGCAGGCTTAAAATTAACTTAAGAGTAACTAAGCAATGATATATTCATTTGTAAAAATTATAGTAAACAAATAACAGTTAAGCACAAATGAGTATTTCAAAGTCAGGTCATATGGTCATTTGCTGAGTTGCTGTGCATTCAGTGGAGTGGAGTACGTATTCTATTAGGTAATGTAATTAAAAAAACAAAACAAAGTTTGATAGGGTTACAGGTTATACATTTATGAGATACAGTTATTCAGTATTTATTTAGTTGTGGGTGAGTAAGTGATTTTTAACCCTTTCAGGGTTTCGGCCATACTAGTACGGCTTATGCGCAGGGTTTTTTGACGTACTAGTACGCATATGAAGGGGTTCAGGGAAACCGGCAGGCCGGACTTGAGTCCTGGAGATGGGAAGTACAGTGCCTGCACTCTGAAGGAGGGGTGTTAATGTTGCAGTTTAAAAACTGTAGTGTAAAGTACCCTTCTGGCAAGACAGTGATGGAGTGAATGATGGTGAAAGTTTTTCTTTTTCGGGCCACCCTGCCTTGGTGGGAATCGGCCAGTGTGATAATAATAAAATAATAGTACGCATAAATTCTAGAGCTGTCAAATCTCGCGGGAAAAGGCTGGTAGGCCTAGACATGAGAGAATGGGTCTGTGTGGTGGGTGTGCGCAGTAGGAAAAAGATCTGGGACCCAGTGGTGCATTGTGGGAACACCATCTTTGTAAACAATGTCCACCATGCCGCACAGTAAGAAGTTCCTCACTCCTCGGTGAATTGGGACACTTTTGTTCCCCATTGACAGTTCTAATACAGATGGAAGTGCCAGTGAAGATGAGTTTCAAGGTTTTGGTGAGGTTTTGACCAGAACTAATGACCATAATATCGGTAATAGTGAGGAAAACCCAGACGACCCTCAGCCTTCCACCTCTGGTGCTGGGCTGTCATGTTCATGTACAGTTGTACCAGAATCAAAGAGGAAACTCCTATTTTCCCAAATCCCAGACTCAGATGTGAGCATTTGTGATGATAGTGATAGTGAATATGAACTACAAGCTCTTGAAACTAGTTCCAGTAGTGATAGTGAAGTGCAATATTCCCCAGTGAAGCGTCAGTATATACGACGATATATGTGCTCTGGTAGTGTGCCATATGATATTCCAAGGGGAAGGAGTACATCTCGGAGTACATTCTGTGGCTGTACAACAGGAACAGACAGTGAAAATGACGATGATAGTGTTGCAATTGGGATGGAAAATGTGCATGGTGGTGGTAGTGGTGGTGCCGGCCGTGAGGCACCAGCAGTGGGCCATGCTGCCACCCACGCTGCCACCCACACCGCTGCCTCAACTGATCTACAACAAAGGCCACCATCCCCACCCACCCACCACACCAGCCTCCACAACCACAACCTCCACAGCCACAACCTCCACAACCACAACCACCTGTCATTGTCCAGTACCCACCAGCAGACCGCACCTGGGATTGGCAGGAAGCTGTCAGTTTTGTTCCAAATCCCCACCAGTGTGATGACAGCCAAAGTGGAATATGGCCATATTGTACACTTGGGAACAATGCCAGTGAACTGGAATGTTTCGAGTTATTCTTTGACAAACCCCTGATGGAAATTATTGTCATGGAAAGCAACATATACTACGAGTACACCATTGCAAACACAATACTTTCACCAAAATCATGTCTACACCAGTGGAAGGAGACAACTGTGGCTGAGATGTATCTTTTCTTTGCCACAATAATGCTTATGCCACATGTGTATAAGCACAGTGTGAAATCATACTTGTCAACAGACCGCCTGATTGCAACCCCAGGTTTCAATGATATAATGCCAGTGAATCGATTTGTGCTAATGTTACGTATGCTTCACTTCTCAGACAAAACCAGGCCTGACAGAAACGACAGGTTATATAAGATTAGGCATGTGTTTGTGTATCTGAAAGAGAAATTCAATATGTATTTTTATCCCTTCAGGAAGCTTGTAATTGACGAGTCTTTGATTCTGTTCAAAGGAAGACTCTCTTTCAA